GCAGAGCGAAATGACTATCCCCCTCACTCAGGCAGCTGTGAGGTTTGCCAAACGTCCACCTCTATGTTTTGGAAAATGAAGGATTCTTAAGTAATTAAGTTGATATTCGCCCATAAAGAAAATGTAATTAAGTTGATCAGACCAACACTGTGAGTTGCAGCTTGGCTCGAATATTAATCGTACAACAACACATGCAATTAAGCAAAAACAAAGATTCTTTTCTTTCGTTATCTTTTACGCCTGTTTCATATCGAATATATATTAGAGTAACGCTAACGAGTTTGCTGGATGACAGGGAGAGTGATGTAATTGGCCTATTCCGCTATAGAAATACGTGGCCACTCTGCATTGAATTCTTGAGGACCGGGAAGATTGATGTGAAGCCCCTCATAACTCATAGGTTTGGATTCTCGCAAAAGGGTATCGAAGAAGCTTTCCGAACCAGTGCTGCTGGTGGCAATGCCATTAAAGTCATGTTTAATCTGTAATCCATCCTTTGTCAAATGAGGGTTGGAATTATCTGCATATAATCTATAAAAGATGTCAATTCTTATGTTGACCCAGTGCCATGCATGTACCTCATTCCTGATTCTAATAGCATCTCGAAATGGTTTTTCTTCATATATTCTCAACCAATGATTTTTTTTTTTAATCATTGATTTCATGGTGTACAGGACATAATAGAAGCTTAACTATATTACTCTGCCCGACTAGTGCTTGGAAAAACTTAAGCCAAAACTACATTTTATGGTCTCTAAGACCATATATAAGACCATAACAGAATGTGGAAAAATAAAAAATGGGTCTTTGGGCGAAACCTTGACAGCATACCTTCTCTCCGGCCGGTAAGAAACAATTAATAGTTGGTGTTCTGACAGTGTTCTCTAGTTTACCATGAAAAATTTCCTGTAAACTCCCAGAGACCAGGTTCTCATCCTTCAAAGAATTGCAGGGAAATGAATCGATGATAATTTGTTTCAAGAGATCAATGTTTCGAAAACCTGTGCCAGCTGCATTACAATAGGATGCATACAAGCCTACCTCAAAGTACTAGTCATGTGCTTCTTTAAGATGATATGCAACCCATCACAGCTAACTTTTGGATCGAAATTACGATTAGGTCATCTTGGTGCAATATTACCACTCAGGTGATAGTATGTTAATGTCCATTGCCTTTTCAGGACTACTGCTTGTATCAATCCAATTTCTCTATAACTGCACATGCACAGATGAAATGAAGGCCATCATTAGTAGGATTTTTTTCAGGTATTTACTCTTTTAAAATTGGGAAAGTGAAGCTCCCCGGAGATACTTGATGTCATCCTATTTGCTTCAATGGAGCTCCAGCCAGATGGTTTCTGCACATTGTTCCCCTCCATCAGTTCTCTCATTTTTGTAGCATCATCCCACCTATCCGAGCTTGCATAAGTGTTTGACAAGAGAACATAATTTCCACTGTTAGAAGGATCCAGTTCAAGAAGCTTGTTTGTGACAACCTCAGCTAAGACCACATTCCCATGAAGCTTACAAGCACTCAATAATATCCTCCACACTACAACATCCGGATGTATAGGCATTGTTTTTATGAATTGATAGGCCCTCTCTAGATAGCCGTAACGACTTAAAAGATCCACAACACAGCCATAATGCTTCATTTCAGGGGTTAGTCCATGAACTTTTTCCATAGTTTCAAAATATTGCAATCCTTTATCTACCAATCCAGCATAAGTGCATGCAAGCAAAATCCCAACAAAGCACCCATGAGTTGGCCGAACACCTTCTTCCAACATCTGAGAGAAAAACTCAAGCGCAGAATCAGCAAAACCATTAACAGCAAGTCCTGAGATGACTGAAGTCCATGAAACGGAGTCTTTCTCTTTCATATCATGGAACACTTCCAAAGCCTTATCAACAACACCACATTTGCAATACATATCTATCAAAGAGTTTCCAACAAAAACATCTGCTCTTATACCATGCTTGCAGATATAGTCATGAATTGCCAGTCCAACATCAAGAGCACCCAAATTGGCACAAGCAGAAAGCACACTAGCCACTGTAATCTCATCCGGTACAACCTTAGCAGCCATCATATCTTGAAAAAGCTTCAATGCATCTGTAAATTGGTTAGCTTGAGAGTAACCTGTAATCATGGAAGTCCAAGAAATCACATCCCTTTGCTTCATGTTGTCAAAAACCTTCCTTGCTTCAATAAAATCCCCCACTTTCATATACCCTTTGATCAATGCATTCCAAGACACTACATTTCTTTCGAGCAACCTATCAAATAATTCCCGCGCTAAATTAACTAAACCACGCTTTCCATACATATCTATCACAGTGTTCCCCAGATAAACATCAATATGAATACAATGTTCCTCAATATATTTAACCATAGAATCTGCCAAATTCATGTTATCTGTATAACAACAGGCTAAAATAACTTTCACCATTGTCACAGCATCAGCTTTCACATTAGCTTCTTGCATTGCCCTAAACAAACCCAATAATTCCTTGAACTTTTTGCATTGACTATATCCACACATCAAAGAATTCCAAGAAACTATATCTCTTTCCTTCATTGTGTCAAATACTTTCCTTGCAAAACCCAGATCGCCACAACAAGAATACATGTGAATCAGCGTATTTGCAACGAATAGATAGGAATCAAACCCGAGTTTAACAGCATGAACATGAAACTTTTGACCGTTTGCAACATCCGAAACTCGAGCACAGGCCTTGAAAACGAAAATAAAAGTCATAATATCACCAGGAAAACCGTGTAAATGGTACATTTGGTTATACATTTTAATAGCTTCATTGGGTACGTTACTTTGGGAAAAAGCACGGATCATGTGATTAAAATTAAACATTGTGGGTTCTTTAGTTTGATAGAAAACATGATGGGCTTTGTGCATATGAGAGGGAGCAAGAGAATAAGCTCTGATCACGGGAGATATAGAAAATGGGTCTTCGTGGCGTTGGTTCCTGAGGAGGTGTGCGTGAAGCTCTTTGGCGGCGTTGATAGAGAGCGGATTCTTGGTTACTCGCTCTGGTTTCAGGGGCGTTGAGAAGCTAGTGAAACGGCGCGAAATATGTCTCGCGAGTTTCATGAAGAGCGGGTGATTCTTGTGGCAGAAATTTCGGGTGAATTTTGGGACACTGAAGTTTCAGTGGTTTTTTTTTTTTTTTTTTGATTTGTGAAGTTGAGATTTTCTTGGTGGTTCATGACGTGACAATGAGCCGTGCTAACTAATAGCACAAGGTGGGCTTCCGTGATTGGGTTTATGCTGGGCTTGATATCGAAGTCCTCGTCTTCTTAATTCCTACCTTTTCTTTTCTTTCTTTTCTCTTTTCGTTTTGAACATCATATTAAAAAAAAAAAAATTCTAGAATTGAAGGTAACTGACATGGAACATGAAATTGTGGTGGTGTAAATTAAGGGAGTCCTCTTCGCTGTTCCTTATTCTGATTTAGCAGCCATGCATCGCAAAGGAATTGATGTTTAAGCTTATAATTTTTGCATTTGAAGTTGATAGATGGAAAAGCGAAAAGGGAAATGGGAAAAGAAGCTTGCCTAAAAACCTTTACTTAAAGCCTAAAGGAAGTCTCTCCCTCTCCAAAAAAAAAAAATCCTTAAAGTTGGCAACATCCATGTAAATCCAAGAAGAGATGGTTCGTTGCTTGGGTAATATTTGCTTCCTGTATGCTGGTGACTCGTGATTGAGGTGAACTATTTGTAGCTCACGGGCTAGGCACTAGATTTGCTTGATGTCAAATCACGTTCTATCATAGTAATAATGTTGAAATCAGTCCTTTCAAGCTTTGATAGTAGGCATCAAATTTAAAAATTCTCACGCATTCCCAGAAAGGATATTCCCCTTCATTATTCATCATATACCTTGAATGAAATTATGCATTTTCTTACTTACAAATGCAATTTAGCCAAGGTAGAAAAGATGTGAAGTATATATATTGTTGATCATTTTATCATTTCAAGTGGAAATTATTAGTCTCAATCAATGGACAATGACTGTCATGACTGGGAAGTTTGATGATTGTTGTCTGCTAATTGTCCATAACCTTAGAGAAGGTTGGCATATAGTCAGGTCCTTCTTAACTTATTAATAAGGAATTGACTAGCATTCATATCCCTTAAATAACCTTGAAATGTAAATTTTATTGTTTGATGGGCTTGCTTAATAAATTACAGACAGCTACAACAGTATAATTAAAAATTTTGTGAATTAGCATTGAATCTGGTTGCTTTTGGTCATTTAAGCGGAGAAGTCAATCGGAAATTGAGTTATATCCTGCTGTCACTTCATGTAGTTCCCAAGCACAAAAAATGTGGCGGCAAGGGTTCAAGATAAGGAATGACTTCGATTTTAGCCACCCCACCAAAATTAGTGGAGCTTAATGGAATTCAATTATTTCTATGATTCTATCATTTCACTCCAAATAGGACCAGGCATGTAAAATAGGGCCTCCCCATATTGAAATGAATATCGATGTATGGATCCTGATTCAACCTGAGGCCATAATTATTTATCCCTAAGGTTGCTTTCTGCGGCCATTGTTCATCAGACTTCCTTTGGACTTTCAACCCATTTTGCTTAATTTTCAAACAAAGGTTAAGTATCCATCATCATCAAATACCTCAGCTCTAACCTACATAAGAAAAATACATGATAAAGAAATAGCGTTTCTGTAAGTCTATTCGAAGAAATGAAATTTCAAATAGAAGGTTCTGGCTAGGGTTTCCAGTTCAACTTGCCCGCCGGTACTTTTACTAGACCTTGATAACCTAAGCCTAGGAGTTTATTTGACGTATTAGCCTCATAATTTAAAGAGGCTTAATGCAAGATGTTTATGAGAAAAAAAAAAGAGACATTTAAGGGGGCAAAAAACAGTTTCTGAGAAGTCATGCCTGTGAATTATGAAACCCCAGGGGGAAATCAAGCCAAACTGGCTTCAAAAGAATCCTTAACGTTCACCACTGAAACTTGTTTTCATAAGACGATCATTTGAGAACGGAATACCCATTTTAAATTTATTGACCGATTTGGAACTCCATTAAGATTAATGGATTGAAAGTATCTGGTGGAGGCTTTATTTGCTTGAAGGCAAAAAGCAGCTGCCTCAAACCCAATGAGATTTCAGCTGTTTAGATACGAAAATTATTTCCTTGGAGGTGTAATTGCAACCGTGGCACAAACTAGACTACAAGATAAAGTGGATGAATGGTTGCTGTCATTTCAAGGCCAAGCAGGTGTTTGGTGTGGAAAACGGTGAGAGTTAAGGTAACCAAATGCTGACACCAAAATGCTTTCATTCAATTGAAACCCAGAACTGTTTGAGCAAGAACCGGTGAATCTTTTCCTGCCACCTTCATCCGTCAACAAGGACCGACCACGACGCAACATTATTTTATCTTTGAATCTTACTGAACCCCCAAAGACATTGATCAACAGTCATCATGACCAAAAAGTACAGAGCATGTTTTGGCTATGAATTTGAGAATGATGCTTGTGGACCTCCAAAAAAGCATTGAACAGTTCCAAAATGGGTGAAGGACTTGGTCACAGCCTCACTGGTCAGCTTGGATGGTTGCTTTGGGCATTTTTTGCACGCGAAGACTCAACAAAACTCCAAGTTTGAAATCCGTTTAGTTTGGTCGCAAGCCAAGTTGAACAACAATAAAAGCATATATGCTCTGCAATTAACCCGCCCCTTAAGTTGAGATTTAGGGATAGGTTAGTTGGTCGGTTTGGGTTTTGATGGTTGCGGATTTTGATTCCAAGGTAGAGAGTGGGAAGACCACAATTGCTTCACGCAATTCGCCACAGTCACACACAAGACGCACCCCACATTCGCACTCCAAATTCTGCATTTTCTCCATATCTTTGACAAAAGTGCAAAATAATTTCTTTCTTTTTTTTTTTTGGCTAGCCAATAAAATTTTTTTTCTTTTTTTGCTTATATATATGAAATGGATTTTTATTATAGGATCCTTTAAATGCCCCTTGAATCTTGATGAATGGATCTTTTGTTTGTTTTTTTTTTTGGAGGGGAGTGGAGAATTTAATTGCTTAATAATTTCCCTTAATAAATGATCAGTTACATAAATAGCCAAAGAAAATAAATATGGAAAAAGATTGAAACGAAATTGAACATATAGTATATATACATATTGCTGGTTTTTGACTTTGATGTTTCAATTATCATGATAGGAAATGATAGTTATACCTTACTATAATAATTTCTAGAATATATATATATATATATATATATGAAGGAAAAATAAAAAAAAAGGGAAATGTTTTTTTTTTGACACCTAATCTCTTATCCAGAATGTGTTCGTTAAAGCAGAAGATGCAATTATTAAAGAAAGTCTTCTCTTTATTTTGCCCACCCCAACTTATAAATAAATAAATAAATAAATAATAATAATAATAATAAAACACATGAGGAAAAAGGATAAATTGAAAGAAAAAGTCTCCAAACTAAGAAGCATATTCATCGATTATCTATTAATATTAATCAATGTCAGACCATAGCCATGGATTTTATATACCATATATAAATAAAAAGAAATTTGCGCAAAAACTTTGTAGTTGGGTTAATTGATTGGATCATACTGAGATATTATGGACACTATCATATATAGCAAGAATTTTATTACAAATCAAACAAACTACTATCAAATAATTGAGATCTCTACTACCCCATTTTTTTCCCCTCACAGCAGATTATTGGAAGTTTTTCTTTTTTTTTCTAAACTTAAAACTTCAATGGCCACTAATTAATTTGCACGTAAGAAATTGCACATGATCTCAGTTTTGAAATTTGTTACGAATGAATTGCATCATATATTTTGGTGGTGAGTCTCGGGTCCAAGCCGATTGATGCTGACTAAATTGTCGTGATACCTAGGGCAGTTAAGGTGCGTCTTTCTGAGCGATGGACTTCCCCAACACGTCAAAGATTTTACTTATAGTCATTGCAATATAATACTAAGCATAAGCTCTGAAATAAATATTAAAAATTAGAATTAAATATTACACTAATTTACATCAAGTCCTTACCGGCCATTTGCTGACTAGGGATGGAAGGTGATTTATGTGTTAACATAGTACCAGTATTCAGTATTAACCAAGATATTAAAATACCCGCCCCCTGCCCTCGTTGAACCCTAACTTTCTGCCAACGCAAACCATATATACAAATAAGTAGCAGTAGTATTTATATAAAGCACTTATTTATATCTCCTGATATTCCTCCGTATTCCCTCTGTTTCATCAATATTCAAAAACCCTCTTTCCATGCTTTCCTCTTCCGCCTCAAGCAAAACCATGAAAAAATCCACGGCGCTAGTTGATGCAGCCTCGTGGTACTGTGCCGTAGCCTTGTTGGCCTTAATATTGATAGCTTCCATCAGGGCAAATTCTGCATCAGATGAACCTGTGAGAGGGAGCCAGCTCCTAAACCGGCCCTGTGATGAAATTTATGTCGTCGGAGAAGGGGAGACCCTGCACACAATCAGCGACAAGTGCGGCGACCCTTTCATCGTTGAGCGCAACCCTCACATCCATGACCCTGACGATGTTTTCCCTGGCCTTGTTCTCAAGATCATCCCTTCGACGGGTAGGAAACTATAGAGGTAGCCATACACCAAAAGCTTCTTCAAACTAATACAGCCTTGTATCATAACATCATATTTTCAAACAGGAACAGACGAAGATTTATACTTTTGCATACATGAATTTTGGTCCCTTTTTCTTTTCTTCTTAGTTACTATGTTATAGGAGATAAACAGTTGAACAGCAGAGTCTTTGTAATAAGTTCAAGGGTCAATATCTGCGCTTTGAAGCTATAGAGAGAATAGGTCTTCCCTGATTGGATTACAGATAATATGGAGATTGGATTCTCCAGGGAAATTCCAGCTTTTCTGTAATTATGGTTTTTTATTTATTTCAGCTTTCTTCTTTGGCCTATAACTGGTTTGGGTTCACCTTTCTTTATGTTCTTGATAATTAATTAAGGGGAAAGGTCCTTTGAGATTAAAATATATCCTAAACACAGTGTCCATCAGGTCCCTCCCCATCGTATTGTTGGGACTTGGATACAGACGTTCTGTACATATTTCTCTATATCTATTCATCGTCAAGTTTGTTGACTTGGAGACGCAGATTTCTATTACGTCTCGTGAATCCGTTTCTGTTAATTCTCTGCCTCGTTCAAGGCTGCTAAAAACATTACTGTTGAATTGCCGGTTTGAAACGACAAAAGCCATCGGCTTGGTGTCCACAGGAGAAAAGTCTTGGGCTGTGGTGGCTGGTGATTAAAGCAGAGTTTGCTGCAAATTCCAAACTTGTATTTGCTTTTATGCGCACGTGTTGTTTATCCTTTAGTAGTGACTTTTTCCAAGTTATTTATGTTAACATATTCGTGGTTAAGTAAATTTGATGTTGCATTGACCCAAACCTACCTTTTATTATTTTTTCAGAATAAGAAAACCCCTATATATTGCGGACTAAACCAAAAATAGTTGTATGACTGGACATGAGTCACCAGCCGATGATCTTTCTCGAAGAAGTGAGGATTCTGACAATTGATCTCTTAATGAGTTAAGAATCTGCTCACGCCTATCTGATTCAAGTCTTAATTTCTAAGCGAATAAGGTATAATTATCCATCTTTGAACCACGTTTAAGAACACAAAGAAGCAGTAATTACCTGCTGTATCTTTCAGTCTTTGGAAAACTGGGAATTTCCCTTGCCACAGGCTAAGCTGTTCCACTTGGCTTCAACTCTTGAAATATTTGGTTTGACTGACTCAGCAATATATACCCTCCCTTTTTTTCTTTTCCCACAATTCCTTGTGCCTGTCAATTTTTCATTTGCTCATTTTTTTTCTCAATTGTAACACATCTTAATGTAAGTCAAGAAATTCTATAGCTGATTGTGGGAATTAGAATGTCTTTTTTCTCGGTAAAAACGTGAAGGATCATGGAGCGGTGGGGTGGTGGATCCTTTTCTCTTATCCAATTTGCCAGCAAATTTGTATGGTAAGCCTAAACCCTAAATGTGAATAATATCATGTACGAAGACAATCCTGATTCTTTCATCATTCGCTTAAAGTTGAGTGTGACTGGCCTCATCATATAATAAGATGGGATGGCAAGAATACCAGTGCCACCTCCCTTCTCACTTATCTTTTTTTTTTTGCTTTACAATAATTTTTTAAATTTAAAAAATAAATAACAAAAACATCAACTAAATGAAAATTTATTAACATAAGATCAGATGTCTATATCGTAAAAACTAGATGTCAACTATGCAAGTGCTTTGTTTTTTAACGATTCCAACCATAGCTCAATGTACAATAACATCGAAAAACTAAAGATTCAATTTAAGTTCTGATTTTTTTTTTAAGCTGAGGATAAAATTTATGTAATTCCAAAAATTAGAATTTTATTTCTTACAATATTTTTAAAGGGAAAAATTTTCTTCTAGGCGCTCAAGATCAATAAAGAAAATAATAAGATGTGAGTAATGAAAAGGTCTATGAATTGTGCTCTCGTCTAGGGCCTCTACGAACTTTTCCATTTTCGGTAATGGGCTAGTACTATATTACAAAGTCACGGGCTGCCTGGCTATGTGGTCAGAAATCCAACTGAATTTCCAGCCCAAGTACTGATCTTTCATCGTTAAGACTTTTGGGCAGGGGACTTTGCTAATTTTATCATAACTAACACGTTGACGTTCACGTTGACAATTACAATTACTACTAAATAGTCTCTCTCTCTCTCTCTCTCTCGTCATTTTGCTCCATGATGGTGGATCGGCCTGTAAGCGGAATACTAGACATGGTTGAGCAGGAAGAGGCGGGGCAAAGCACAAAGTCAAATCCTTCATGTGGAGGACAGCGACAGCCAAGCAGAGGAATTAAAAGGGGGTTGCATGTCAAATGAAGAACAAAGAAGTGTGCCAGTTTTGTGGGAAGCAGGAAATGAAACCGTGCAAAAGCTTAATGAGGAAACGAGCAAAACAGGCTCTGATAAGGATGGAGGCAGAGATGCCGCGATAGAATTTAAAAATATTGAAGTGAGACTTGGTGAAGAAGTGGATTGGGCTTTTGAAGTCAAACTCCGCTTGAGGAGGAAAACCCAAAATGCGAAACCAAGTCCAACAACAAGGATAGAGCTGGGCCTCATGAATCTCGAGGCTTAGAGGATCCCAAGACAGTGGAGAGTACCCGAAATGGGACTGGACCCCTGGGGAACAAGGCCCAAAAGCAAAAAAAGGGACGTGTTTCTGATGAGTCCTGTAATGACTTCAACCCAGCAGCACATCACTTATCCTCCGCCTCTGTGGCTCTTCACCTGAAAGCACTAGACCAGGCCATATCAAGCCTCCACAATCAGGCAAGCTAAAAAATAAAATATTGGGCCTTTTGAGCGAAGTGGTAGAAAGAGTTTGCGGCAAGAAAAGGCAGAAAGGCAGAGGAGAAGTGGGAAGGCCGTGCAGAGAAAAATTGATGAAGGGCTTGGAGCTGGTGGTGCCGAATCAATTTCTGACGGGGACATAAGAAATCGGAATTATGCCATCTTCGAAGAAGCCAAGGAGGTTTGTGTTGGCGTTTTATTTTATTTAATGTATCTATGAAGAGGAATGACATTTACATGTGAATATATTTGTTTATTTCATGAATAGATAAGAATGTATAATAAAGAGACACGTGATGTTTCATTATCTATGAATTCTCGTTTTTATTATTCAAAAGCACTTTTAATATTATGTATCTTGATTTCAGAAATTTTCTTAATCTCCTCTTTCTCAAAGATCATTCTAAGCCTTTTGCATTTTAAAAAAATATTTTATTATATTTTAAAAAAATTTTAAAGAGTAATTGAAAGATTTACAAGTTCATTAGATTTTCATTTGAGTGTGTTAGAAGATATTTGAGTAGTTCGTTGTATCTTGACAGCAAAATGTCATCGATTGCTATTTACTTTGAAAGAATAATAAAAATCTATTTCAAAATCAGCACCTTCCATAACTTGTTTGAAACTGATTTTTACATTTAATTTTTTTTTACTGTTAATTGTTGAGTCTCTATTATTTCTTTGTAGGTTCTTTTCATTTTTTGTCAAGTATCTCAACAGTTAGGAGACTAAATAAAAATCTTGGCTTCAATGCCAACTGTTAGGAGGGTGAAATTTATGGCCAACGGTCGGGCATATGGGGGTTATATCCTCGGCTAAACTCAGGTGAGGTGCAGGTAAATGGTGGTGAAGGCTGAGGTACTTACTGGTGAAGAAGAAACTATTGAAAGGTTATTGGGTCTAGAGGTCATTTCCTCAGCAATCAAGTAAGGCGCAAGGCAAGGTGCCCTGCCCCTGTGATTTCGTGCTATATGTTGTGAGCATGGGGCTGAATTTGTGCCATGTCGAGAAGCTGGTATGTATTGCAAAAAAAGTGACAAAAAAAATGAGTTTTTTGTTTTTACCGTACTTGGTAAAAAAAAAAAGGAGAATAATAGGTAGTGATTATAAGATTTTGAAGAAGTAAAGTTTGAGAATAATTTTATTACAATAGATTTTATTTTAATTTTAATAAAATTAATTGTTATGGATATTTGACTAAATAAAAAATTATTATAAGGGTAAACGTATAAAATTTCAAAAAAATTAAAATATGTCAAAAAAATTTTGTAGGGAAGAAATTATAAAATTTTTTAAAAATAAAGATAAGTTATAACCCCCTCCGCCTCTGCTGAAGGCTATGGTAAACTTTGGAAGGAAGAGTAATGGAGGGAATTAAATTCTAGTTTATAGGCAAAATACACTTTTTGGGTGGTTTGCAGTGAATTGTGAAGGAGGAGACGTGGGCATATTTTAATAATCACCAGAAGATGCAGTGTTAGGGCAGCAGATTGTATGGGTAGTTGACTGTGAGAGACATTCCAAGAGATGGCCTTATTGTGGGAGAGTGGTGTTTCGACATACCGTATAAACAAGAAAGGCAAATCAATGTTGAATATTTAGCAAAGCAAGGGGTGCAGCGTCAAGGCAACAGATTGTATACTTCAGGTTTTTGCTTTCATGTTTGTAATAACAAATTTCAACTAGCTTTTATCCTAAAGGTGTCATAGTCACGACGCTGATGATGACAATTGGAAATCAATTACTACCAATTAATATCTCTCTAAAGCAAGAAGCTAAAATAGGTTTTGCTTCTCATCTTTATAATAAAAATTTTCGATTACAATTGGTAATCCATCACTACTAAATAATCTCTTTCTTTGCTTCTTTACAATATAGATAGATAAATTGGAAAGCAAAAATTTCATGGGAAAAATTTTTAGGTTTCGCTTCTCATGCGTGTAATATAGTATTTAGACTAGCTTAATTAATTTATAATTAAACTATTCAATGCTATTCATTTGAATTAAGAAAAATATTTTTAATTAAATTAATTCCATTCAATTAGAATTCTTATTTACTAATTGGATAAATCTAATTAATATTTATAATAAAATATTTAAAATGAAAATTTAAAAAAGTAAGATTAATCTTTACCCATTTAGCAACTGTGTCTACTTCTTAATTTGAATTCAAAGTTTAGTCTCGTACTATTATGTACAATTGTAAATAGTATTTATATAATAATTAAAATTATGTAAAATGACAAATAATAATTTCAAATTTTAATGAGTATAAATGTTCATTTTCGACACTAAAATGTTTTTTAACATCCATAATTTTATATATATCAACATTTGTTGTCATATGCGTCATTACACACATGAATACTTACTTTTTATTTATGTATAAATAAAAATTATATATAAAACGTAAATATTTCTTAAGTGTAAACTAATTGTTTATAAATAAAATAAAATTATATAATAGTTAATGTTTCAATTACCTATAACTTAAATTTTGTAATATTAGTTTATAAAATGATATAACTGAAAGACAATTATATATAAAAGACAATTAATATTTCAATTATGTATAGTTCAATGTAATTTAAATGACTATATATTTATATATTTGGTTTTTGCTTAAAATGACTTTATATATATTATTGAAAGAAATTAAGACCAAGTCAGTGAGCTAAATAGGCTTGGTTATAAGTCACATAAATGTTCTAACTTCATGCTGTTTAGCTGTATTCTTTGTTCAGTGTTCACCTTTATCCTTTTGGGGAATTGCAAATGATGTAGGAGTAACCCTACTATAAGCCAAAGATGCTTGAATTAATGTCACAAAGTACAAACTAAACCACCTCTCTGATATTTATATTTAAAGCTTAGTTTAAAAAAAGAAAATGAAGCAAAAGGGAAAAGCGCATTTTTATTTTTTTAATTTCCGCTTGAATTGAACTTCCTTTGCTGGGACCTCAGAAAAAGAGATGCACCGAGAAATGCGGCTCATAATAAAAGCCAACCGAAGCCTAGTAGAGGTCGTAGAGTTTTGGGTTTATTTATAGCAGAATAGATTGGATTGTTGGTTCAATTAGCTCCTTGGAATTGGAAGTTTTAGAGAAACATATTGGATTGGGGTCATGGTCTACGTGGGGCATGCACCGCGTACATTTTGTTTAAATGTTCGAATGAGTGTGGTTGGCTGGGTGAATATTAATTACTGTTGAATTAGATCACTTTTATTTTTGTGCGGTAGACGGGATTCTTTGTACCTAAGGAACATTAGGATTGCAGTTAAGAGAAAATGACAGGGTGGAGATTTCTTCTTCCCTTGGGGATTGGCAGATATCTGCCATCTTTGATGAGTTACTTAGCAGCAAAAGCTACGCAAAACATGGGTTTGGAATCGTCGATGTGTCTTGCACTTGTTTTTGTCGCTCCTTTTCATTTTCATTTCTGTTACGCTGTGAAAGGTAGTACAATTTTTTTTGCCATGCCATTCCCTTTCCCACACTTGCAGTATTATAGTATATAAAATGTAAAACTTGGAAAATAAAAATAAAAGAAAGAAACACAATCTTAACACTTACGCAGTGCCGGCTCAAGGGTAAAGCCACCAAAGTGGTGGCTTGAGGCTCCAAATTTGTATCGATTTCTAATTTTATAATAATTATAATATAATTAATTATATTATAAATATATAAAAATTAAAATAATTAATAAAGTATTTATTTATTCTCGTAGACCTAATAAATATTTATTTTATTCCTCATTCATATTCTTATTAATTCTCAATTATTTGATTCATTTTTCATATTCAAATCAAAGTAATTAATAAAATAATATATTCTCTCACTTCTCTAATTATGTACTTAATAAATTTAAATTTTTTATCACTTCCCAATTCCAATAATTCTATTAATTCTATTAATTCTTAATTATTTTTGTTATTTTCAATCAATTAACATATATTAATATATATTTAATGATCTCCAATTGCTTTTTTTCTCAACCATTTCTTTTATTTTCAATTAATTAACGTATTTAATTATCTCTAATAGTTATTATATATATAATTAATTATTTTTTTTCAATTTATAATATCTATTTTTGATTTTTTCTTTTCTCATTTGCTTTTTCTTCTTTTAACTTTAGTTTTCTTCCAAAAAGATACGTAAGAAGTCTAAGGTCGTGAACCTTATTTGTTGTTTGCAATAACATTCAATAATTAGATAGATTATTTTAATTTTTGCAAGCTTTTTTGCTTTAATTTAGAGTTTATATTATCTTGTTATATTGTTTCTCTTTTATACAATAGTTGATTTATCAAATTAAAAATTTAATTAAAAATTTTAATACTTTTTTTTAATTTTAATAAAAAATACTTCATTTAAATATTTAACTTTAAACGTTTGAAGTTATTAAACAGTCCCTGCATTTACGAAATTCTCTTTTACAACTTCTTATTACAGCTTTCTCTTGATTGGTGTTCCTTTCCCATGGGGGCATCTATCATGGGATCAATGCTCCAATTCCCTGGGAAGCACTTGATCAGTGTTCCCTTCCCTTGAGGAGCACTTGTCGTGGGGTGGCTGACCGACACATAAGAGCATTGCTTGTCGACCACATTGTTTAAGAATAAAAATAAAAAAAAAATTGAATCATTTCATTAACGATTATTAGGATAAAATATTTATTTCAAAAAATAATAAATTCATATGAAATTATAATTAAAAGTTAAGAATGAAAGTATTTTACTCTAAATTTTATCATTTGTAACGTATTGATGTTGATAATTAATAATCAATTAGTAATAAGTAAGTTGTATCTCTTTATTTTTTTAATTGAAGAGAGATTTTGTAAAAAACAAAAAACTTTGCATACTTTGAATCCTATTTTTATTATATGTAACATGTTGATGCTGTCATTTTTTCTATTGTCCAATGTCTGTCTTGATTCTTGAGTAATTCTCCAACGCCGTCCGCAGCGCAATCAGCAATAATAATACTGCTACAACTACATACCAAGTTCTCGTACGAGTACGTTCCAGACGAGCAGTGCCCGCACGGATAGTGGAAGCTGCTGCGAAATTTCCCATTAACACCTCTTTTGGATTCCCTTGGAAATGGATTTTCCCAATTGTTGTGGGAACAAGCAATAGCTACACCTACTACACTAACGAGACATGGCAATTGTAGCAATATGTTAGCCAGAGGAAATTACCAGGAACTGTAATAAATATATATATATATATATTCTTGTTCATAAACAAGTCAACTAAATCAATTAAAGTTACTTAAATAAAAAATATATATGTATGTATAATCTTCACCAATGATTACATTTACATCTATAAATGCTTACTTGCATGAATATATATAAGCGACATTAATATTAAACTTTATCGGATTTTTAAATTTTTATGTCTATTTTTATTTCAATTGAGTTAATATTTAATTAATGCTTATAATTAATCTCTCTCTAGATAGAGAAGCAAGAAGCAAAACTTTCTTAAGCAAATTAAGTTTTGCTTCTATAATAAAAAACTTCAATTAGTTTTTATCCCAGTAGGTATCGTATGTAACACGTTGATGTTGACAATTGGTAATATCTCTCTAGATGGAGCCAAAATAGGCTTCGCTTCTCATGTTTATAATAAAAACTTTCTAATAGTTTTTATCTTAATTTTACCATATTAAGACGTTGACGTTGACAGTTGGTAATCAATCACTAGTAATTAATCTCTCTTTCTTTGTTTTCTTTAGGAAAGAGAGAGTAGAGACATATAGATAAAAAAGTGGAAAGCGAAAATTTCATAGGAAAGGTTTTTAGGTTTCGCTCCTCAAGTTTGTAATAAAATACTTTGACTTGCTTTAATTTATAATTAAAGAATTCAACACTATTCAATTGAATTAAGAAAAATATTTTTAATTAAAATAATTCAATACAATTAAAAATTTTATTAATATTTATAATAAAATATTTAAAATGACAATTTAGAAATAACATTAATCTTTATCCATTTAGCAATTGTGTCTACTTCTTAATGTGAATTCAAATTTTAGTCTCATACTATTATGTACAATTGTAAATATTATTTATATAATAATTAAAATCATTTAAAATATCAAATGATCATTAAAATATTTAATGAGTAAAAACGTTCATTTTCATCAATAAAAAGGTTTTTCAACATCCATAATTTTACATATATCAACATTTGTTGTCATATGCATCGTAGCACATGAATACTTATTTTTGATTTATGTATAAATAAAAATTATATACAAAATATAAATATTTCTAAAGTGTAAACTAATTGTTTACAAATAAAATAAGATTATATAATAGTAATTAATGTTTCAATAATTTACGATTGAATTTGTACTATTATTTTATAAATTTTCAATGCTATTAGAATTAAGAAAAAACATTTTTAATTAAAGTCTTTGAATATTATTTACAATATGATATAACTGAAAGACAATGATATAAGCGATAATTAATATTTCAATTATATATAATTCAATGAAATTTAAATGACTATATATGTATATTTTTTTGCTCAAAATGACTTTATATATATTACTGAAAGAAATTAAGACCCAGTCAGGGAGCTAAATAGGCTTGGTTATAAGTCACATAAATATTCTAACTTCATGCTGTTTAGCAGTGTTCACCTTTATCATTTTGGGGTATTACAAATGATGTAGGAGTAACTCTACTATAAGCCAAAGATGCTTGAATTAAAGTTACCAAAAAAGATTAGTTTAAAAAGTGAAAATGAAGAAAAGGAGTTGGAACTTATATTCATTTTTGCTTGAATTGAACTTCCTCCGCTGGGAACTCAAAAAAAGAGTTGTACCGAGAAGTGCGGCTTATATACTAGAGGCAAACGGAAGCCTAGTAGAGGTCGTAGAGTTTTGGGTTTACTTATAGGAGAATAAATTGAACTTTTGGTTCAATTAGCTCCATTGAATTGGAAGTTACAAAAAAATATGGGCTTGGGGTCATGTGGTCCTCGCCTGGCATTTTGATTGTACCTTTGGATGAGTGAGGTGGGGTAATTATTAATTGTTTATTGTTGTTGAAGACGGGATTCTATAAATGATTTAATCCTTAATGACTTTCCTTGGCAGCAAAAGCTACGCAAAACATGGTTTCGGAATCGTTGATGTTTCTTGCACTTTTTTTTGTTGCTTATTTTCATTTTCATTTCTGTTACGCAGAGAAAGGTAATACTATTATTTTGTCATGCCATTCGCTCTCCCACACTTGCAGTATTATTACAGTATATAAAATGTAAAACTTGGAAAAAAGAAGAAGAAGAAGAAGAAAGAAACACAATCTTAACACGTACAGAATTCTCTTTTGCAGCTCCTTATTACCGCTTTCTCCAAGAGTCAACCTCGGCTCCACAGGTATCATTTTATGACTACATAATCATTGGTGGAGGAACCTCTGGTTGTCCCTTGGCTGCAACCCTCTCCGCAAGCGCAAATGTTTTAGTCCTGGAAAGGGGAGGATCTCCCTATGTCAACCCTCGCAAGTCGGACAAAGAGAACTTCTTCCCAAATCTTTTAGACCGCTCTCCTGGATCATATTCCCAAGCATTCATCTCGGAGGATGGAGTCTACAACAGCCGAGCACGCGTTCTTGGTGGCGGATCAGTCATTAATGCAGGGTTTTACTCACATGCTGAAGCTGATTTCTTGAAGCAAGCTGGCTTGAATGAAGTTTTAGTTAATCATTCCTACCAGTGGGTTGAAAAGAAGGTCGCTTTTAAGCCACCTGTGTTGCAGTGGCAATCTGCTCTTAGAAATGGGTTGCTTGAAGCTGGAGTTTTGCCGGATAATGGATTCACCTATGATCATGTTCATGGGACCAAAGTTGGTGGAACTATTTTTGATACGGATGGTCATAGACATACAGCAGCTGATTTGCTTGAGTATGCTAATCCATTGAATATTACGGTTTACTTGTATGCTACAGTACAAAAGATCATATTTTCGACAAAAGGTGAAGAGTATATTTTTGTTGCACCAGTGAATTTGTTGCACCGCCAAAAAACCATAGGCATGCATGCATAATTTGTTTAAG